GTGTTTAATAAAAAAAAAAAACAAAAAAAAAAAAAAACCCAAAAAAAAACCGAACCAAAAACCAAAAAACCCCCAAACAAACCCCAAAACACAAAAAACCCCAAAACAAAACAAAAACCCCACCCCCCGCATAAAAATCCCACCCCTGCCACTAGCAAACATTACAAATGCAACATCCCACGCCCCTGCCCCCTCCCTTCCCCCCCATTGTGATGGGGGTTGTAATACTGTGTTTTGTGATAAATCCAGTTCACTTAATGTGAAATTGCCGAACTGGCATCCTTTTATCAATTCCTGTCTTCAGGTGTAATAATTAAAGCTAATAGATATTAATTGCAGAATTGAGGGTTCTATTTCAATTTATAGAAATAGCCTTTCTGAAGTCTGATTGTTTCCTATTTGCTTTAGTTCAGGAACCTCAATCTAATGCTATGAATAAGTGTTTAATACAACCTGTCTTTGTCTAGTTTAGAAACAGGACACTTCTTTAACAAAGCAGTTTTTATCCCTTTTTTACTTGGTAGCCGTTAGTATTGGTTTGATATTCTTGATGAGTTATATTCTTAATGAATTGATAAAAAACACATGTAGATAGCTTTTTGATTACAGAAGAGAAGAATGCTTTCATGCAAAATTGTGGGGGGGTGTTCATGTCTTAAAACTCTTACTTTTATTGATATTCAATGTCACTTGTTACTTATCTTTTCTCAGAAATATTAATTTTATCACCAAGATTGGATAGCTTTTTAAAAAGGAGACTGAAAATTATACTGGAAGTATTTACATATGGGACTGATAGCATTTACTGTGCTTTATGTGATGGAACCAGTGTCATCTTACCAGACTGGTACTTTTTCTGATCAAAAGTTCTATCAAGTTTAACAGTAAATGGAGATTTTTCTGTGTAGGATGCCCGCCTCATTTGCTGCAGGGATTGCAAGGCTGCAAGTGAAAACCAGGAAGATTAAGGAGGATCTTGTAGTGACAGAGTTTGAATGCTTACCCAAAAGACTTAGTGATTTGAAGGATTTTGTTAAGCGATTGAAAATAAAGTCTTTGCACACAATGGTGTCTCATTGTGTTCAGAACGGTCTCAGGTCAAGCATCCAGATGACTTAGAGGTGCTGAATACTCATAGCTTAGTAGCTGGGGGCTCTGAACAGATGAGCTGTGTAGTGCTACATATCCTGGAAAAATCAGGCTCCGGCTGAGCTCTTGACAATTCTGTGATCGTTAGCTATTAATAGGGGGGAGCTTCTCACCCCGTTGTCTCGGGAGTCCTGGGATCACAGGTCAAATACCACATCATTTGTTGTTCTAGTGAGAAGTGCTGTACACTACAGAGTAGATACGCGCTGATGTCTGTGCTAAACTGCGTGGGGATAGTACAATACATGGGACAGCTGCTTCTCCAGTATTTTGTGTGTACTGAATGGGAAGTGGAGCAAAATAGGATATAGCGATCTGTCTTTAGTGGAAGCTGCTGTGGCAGTTGAAAGAGGAAGATAAAGTTTCTTTGAACTCTGTGTTGCCAGCCAGTACTTTCTTAACAGTTCAGCTGTTTAGCTTAAATGATGGCACTGACCACAAGTATGTTTTTGTCTTCGAGGTATAGAAGAAAACTACTTTAAAAATAGAACAGCAAACTTCATAGCTGGCTGAAAACAGGATATTAAATAAAGTAGATCTGGCCTGAGCGTATACAAAGATAAATATGCAGATGGTACATTAGGTCAAATAAAGGAAGAGTAGGGATTTTTCTCATAGTCCATTGTTTCCAGGAGTGGCTTTTTATTTAAATTCAGAAATATTCCCCCCTCCCCTTTGGATTTAATGAGAATCCAGGGGTCAAATGAGGGGGGGGGGGGGGTGGGGGGGAAGATTACTGATTATTCACCTGCTGCTTTCTTACTAAATTTTGTGTTTAACTTGCTGAGGAGTAAAAGAAAGTATGGCTGGTCAAACCAGAAGAGACCAAGGGTCAGTCTAGCTCCGGTGTCTGGTGATGGCTGGAAATAAAATGAAAAGAAGAGCAAGTACAAGGTGTGCTTCTCAAGTGTACCTTCCTGACTGCTGTTGCTCTCTGACTTCAGGACCTCTGAGGCAGTGTTTACAGCTGGGCTTAACAGCATTACAAATCTTCCGTTTCATTAGATTTTTCTGGTCTTCCAATAATCATTTATTCTCCTGGCAGTTGAAAGCATCTACGACAGTGAGTTCCATATCTGACTTAAATGTAGTCTTACTAACTTTCTTATGCATTCTGATGATTTTCTAGTCTGACTTCCCAATTTAGAATAGCTTGTTAAATTTTGTGTAGCTTGTACATTGATATTCCCCTGGGCTAGTAGACAATTTGATAAGCACTACTTTAGAGGAACACACTGTTTTCATGTTCCTTCTTGTACTGTGCACCCTTCATTCTGACAGGTGTGGAAGAAAGAGGGATTGATCCATTTTCTCTCTCAGTAAAAACTGGAGATGGGTCACAGAATAACCTTTGCTACAACAAAGATGTACACTTAGTATTCCTGGTATTACATATATGGGAAACCTCTCCTTTTTTGATTTCTCTTCAGTCTCTTTTTCCTTCCGAGGAATAATGACACTTTCACTTTCTGCTGCCATTCATTTTCTTCTCCAGTTGGAGGAAAAAAAAAAAATCAAAATTCATGTTCTCTTCTGTCTGCAGAGATCTGAATACCAGCAACGCAGCTGGCCAGTTTTGTCAGCCTCTTTCCCAAGGAACAGCCAAGTGAAATGGACAGAAAGGAATTGTATGCTTTAAAATTCAGCTGTGCCTGTTATGTAGTTGGAAGGTATAAGAGTGCAAGTATAAAAGCTTGAAACTTAATTTAAAAATAACTGACCTTATCGTATAGCAATTTATTCTATACCCTTAAGCTCACCTTACTAGCAGGAAAAAAGGTTTCTCTGTCTGCCTTTGCCAAGCTGAGGGCTCAGATTCTAATTATTATAGAGTCAGGTGTTTCAAGGAGACTTAAATAAGGAGCAAAACCTGCTGACTAATTTAGACACACTGTGAAATGCTGTGTAAAATTCCTAAGTAGCAAATGGAAATTTTACATTCTTACCAGCTTCTTGTTTGCTGATGAAACCCCAAACCCTTACTAGCTGTAGGTGTGCATGTATTAGAGGTAGGTTAGTTTTTGCTTTTTTTGGGGTGCAGGTAAGCTCTGTTTGTAGGCTACTAACTTGCACAGTCTTCGTCTGAAAGAGGTTTGCATTTTTATGAGATCAAGAACTTGATAGGAAGAAGGCTAAAAAAATCTGTCATTTTTTTCTCTTTCCAGATATGAGAAATGAGTGTTGGACGCAGAAGATTAAAGCTGCTGGGAATTCTGATGATGGTAAACATTTTTATTTATGTGATTGTGGAAGTCTCAAAAAGCGGCAGCCAAGAGAAGAATGCAGAAGGCCGTGTTATTATACCACGCAGCAAATTCTGGAGAAAATATACTCCTCACAAAGCTTATTGGAACAAACAGCAACAGAAGCTTGAACTGCTGTACAACCCTATTCTGACCTTGCTTTCCAATATGACTGTGGAAGAGAACTTAGTTTCTAACTCGAGTGTTCTCAGTTCCTGTGAGCCTGACCCGTGGGTACCTTCAGAGGTTAGTGACTTTGCAAATTTGCCAGACAGATTCAAAGACTTTCTACTTTATTTGAGATGTAGAAATTATTCATTATTAATGGATCAGCCAAACAAGTGCAAACATAAACCTTTTCTGCTGCTGGCTATTAAGTCACTTACACCCCATTTTGATAGAAGGCAAGCAATTAGGGAATCCTGGGGCAAGGAAATAAAATCGGGGGATGTGACAGTCAAAAGGGTCTTCTTGCTTGGACAGACCCCACCAGAGGATAATTTTCCTGATCTCTCAGACATGATAAAATTTGAGAGTGAAACCCACCAAGACATTCTCCTCTGGAACTACAGAGACACTTTCTTCAATTTAACTCTGAAAGAGGTGCTGTTTCTGAAGTGGGTCAGCAGCAGTTGCGCAGATGTCCAGTTTATTTTTAAGGGTGATGATGATGTTTTTGTGAATACCCATCAGATCCTGGATTACTTGAAGAGCTTATCAAAGGACAAAGCCAAAGACTTATTTATAGGCGATGTGATCAAAGATGCTGGACCTCATAGAGAAAAAAAATTGAAGTACTACATCCCAGAAAGTGTTTATGAAGGTTCATATCCTCCATATGCAGGAGGTGGTGGGTTTCTGTACTCTGGTGATCTGGCATTAAGACTGAATAATGCATCTGACCAGGTACTCCTTTACCCTATTGATGATGTTTATACTGGAATGTGCCTTCAGAAGCTTGGGCTTGCTCCGGAAAAACACAAAGGCTTCAAAACATTTGATATCGAAGAGAAATACAGAAATAACATATGTTCCTACACAAACTTAATGTTAGTACATAGTAGAAAACCTCAAGAAATGATTAAGATTTGGACACGCTTGCAAGATCCACACTTAAATTGTTAAAGTAATGTGCATAAGTGTCTTAAGTCCATATAACTTTCCAAGTTTGGGTCTGACTTTCTTGGACCATTGAAGCTCTGTTTAATAGTTTAATTTTCTCTGGGAACTTTTTCCTCTACTTTTGAAAATGAGAATAATACTAAAATTTGAGGGGATGGCTTGAAGACTTGGTCCTGACTTTTCCACTGTCCTGGTGGTCATTATGTTTCAATATTTGTCTTAAATTAATTTTAAAAAGGACTTCAAGGATGTAACTAGCTGTCAGTGACTGGTTAGCTGTATTGGAAACAGGGATTGCCTATTACAATGCATCTTTCATTAATTGTGATGGTGAAAGGTATTTTTTCCTTGAGTAGTGTTTGTGTGTGGGTGTGTGGAAACCACTGTAAATTGAAAATTTACAAATTGGAGGAATGTAGTTTTACTTTAAGTATGAAACACTCTTAGAGACTTTATTGAATTTTTTTAATTTGTAGTTTTCAGTCTTTTTGCACCCCAGAACAGTATTTTCTCCTTTACTTATGATCTTTCGTACAAAGTGTGCCTGTGTCTGAAGGATTTATCCGTTTATTAGATGATGCTTTTTTTACAAAAAAAGCATAATACTGTTTGAAACACCCCATAAAAGAGCTGAATATATAAGGAAAAGGAAGAACAGATTTTGTTTGGGGCTGGGCAGTAGATACAGTTAGGTCTGCCCCCTGCCCCAAGCTTACGTGAGGTAAAGCTGACTTGTTGCTCATGTTATTTATGTGAAAAGCTACTCTGGTCAGTCCTTGTTTTCTCTTTTGGCACTAAATGTGATCAGGTAGCTTGATTTGATGCAAATAACTGAAATTGCACATTGCTTTCGAGAGCATGGTTTGGATCTCCTATAAAGCAGTAGCAAATCTAGAATTGTGCAGATCCTAAGAGTTTTGAATTTTGAAACAAACTTTGAAGTTGCATGATGTCTCATGTAGAGTTATGTTCTCAGAATTCAGATTTTTCTTCTGTATTTCCACATCTTGCTTATAAGAGTTATTCTAAATAGTGGTTGCTTCCTTTGTATATGTAGAAGTGCCTGTCTATTTATTGTTCAGATTGAAGACCAAAACATTTTCTTAAATATATTTTGTGTAACATTTTATTTGTATAGTGTTGTCACTCAGATATTTAAATAGAGCATGATATTTTAAATCTGTGAGATGTGTAACATGTTAAATAAAGCTAATTGTTATTTTTGAATTTGAAAAATAAAATGTGATTTAAATATTTCTTGTAATGCTTCATTTGAGACATAAGGTTGCCTTACAGAGCAGTTGCACTCTACTGTGTGGCATTCAGTAACAACGCCTTTCAGAAGTTCGTAAGCAAAAGGCTTTATTCGGCAACTTTCTCTAGCGCTTATGTACTACACTATCAAGAAAATGTTGTCGCAATTGTGCATGGATTTGTTAGATGCTGTAATAGATGGAAAACTCTGGCAAAAGCAAGGGAACGTTAAGTGCCCTAGGAAAAACAGTACGTACACAAATAATTGCCTGTACAATAACACTGCTTGTACAATTGAAAGGAATCAAGGAATGGATTGAATGGCTGGCACTTTAGTCTAGTTTTTGTTTGAAATAACTTGGCAGCTACAACTCTTTTGGCTTCTTCACCTGCTTTCTGGTTCCTTCGTTTACCTTGAACAGATGTGGTGCTTTTTTTTGTTTGGGGAGAGGTGAGGTCTTCTGGTCTTCCACCTTTCTGTTCCGTAGATGTTTACTGTCAACCCCCAGGATAGATAGATAGATTAAAGACAGACTGTGCTCTGGTATTGTGCTGCGAGGTTTGGCCCCTGTGCCTTGTAATTCCTCATGAGAAATTACACCTTTCTGAAAGAGCTGCAGATTTTACTGTACATGTGTTACTTCCTACTCTGTTCTTCCTAGCCATGCTAAGCACCCTGTTTCTTTCTAAATGTTAGTGGGATTTTTGTCAAGAGTTTGGGCCAAGTGAAAGAAAAGTTATGCGGATAATGAGGAATGCAAGTAGAGATGTGATGTTAAGAGTCTTCTAGACTCTCAGAGCGAGAGAGGAAAAGGAATTGATTCTTATGAGTAAGATGGGGTGGAGTGCACATGTGATATTAACCTGTTAGTGAAATGGGTGGGATTGGTGGAGTGCCAGCATTAATTATTTACTTTATACCCTTCCTGTAATCATGAGATTAAAAACAGGCCTCTTGTATAGGACACGACTGAGAATAAGGAAAAAACAGGCTGAGTGGTACTTGCCAAGGAGAAATGCTGTGAGAAGGCATCTACCCGCCTTCTGAAGTGACTAGAGAAGAGAAAGAAGGGAGAGGAAAAGACTGAGCGGGTGGCCCCAGAGGGCTAAATAGGTAAGAAGGTACTGGAGAAGAAATTGGACAGGCTTGTCTTGTTTACTCTGGGTGTGGAGAAGCACCGGTGACTGTACTATCTGATTGGGCCTCTGGTCCACTCCCGTGGAGAAAGAATTGTCTTGACAAAGAATTGGGAGTGTGTGGAGTAAAGAGTAAGTGAAATAAATAAGAACAGAGATAAGGAAACCGAAAGAAATGCCATGTGTGGGGGAACGGGATTTGGGGACAGTTGGGAACAGAAGATGAAAAGTCTTCGAAAAGCAGATACAGTATTAGGTTGTTGTATCTGGGTTTTTTTGATTGTGTTCTGGGGTTTTTTTTTTTGGTTGCCAGTTCCTGGTTTTTGGAGCATTGCTTGAGTATTAGGTACTTTAAATGAAAAGTGAAAGTAACGTAATTAAATTGGGAATAATTTTTTTTAATATGGACTGATTTCCTATGAAGTAAATTTACAGCTAAGGAAACAATGAGCAAAACTGGTAACTACTATAAAATAAGTAAATAGATGAATGACTTTTTTGGAATTACTTGGTGAAAAGAGATCTTGGAAATATAGGGTGCTAAAGATGGATTCCACACCCCACCCCCCCCTCCTAAAATTTAAGGGAGAGGAAAGAGTCTACTAAGATGAAAACATGAGAAGATTTGAGTACTGTGAGAATAATGGGAATAATGGAATTTGAAAACTGAAATAGATGAGATGGTTGAATGTGGAGACAGACTTTTATTTTTTCCCCTTCTCTGAATACAGCAGGGAAAATGAAGTGCTCCTGTGATTAAATGACATTGCATCAGGGTAAGCCATTAGAATCCATTAGCTTGTTTGTATAAAGGCTCAGGCTTTTTCTTCTAAATCCAGTTGGGAGGAGGAAATACAGGCCTTTGGATAAGGAAGGTAACTGAGCTATAATTAATGCACAAATTATAATGTTTATCTTCTAGAGGATGGAGTCCCTTTTTTTTCTAAATGAAAAATTTTCTGCCGGTCGGTTACTTGGACTGTATGCACTTACACTTGGATCCCTTCTCCCCCTACCTAGTTTATTTTGTTATGTTATGTAGGCTTGAGTGAAATGTAGCACTTGACAGGACTGGTGATAACAGAATTCCTGACAATCCTTTCTGCTTTTTGGTGTTGGAAGCACTGAAAGCCAAACTTGAAAAGAGTTTTGGCTGGAGAATACAAGAAAGATGCAGACTAGAATTTAGTAAAACTTCTGCGTTAGGTATGCTATTCAACAAGGATCCACATGCAGGTAATTCTTAATTTTGGGCTTTGTGATGTGGTAATGAGCAATCTAGCTCTTATCTGGTGCTGCTGTTGTGCTGATCTAGCTTACAGTAAGCAGTTTACTCCCTGGCCTCCTTTCTCTTCGGGCTTATTACACCTCGTATGCATAAGATTTGCACTGTAGTTGGGTTTGCCTGAGGGCACCAATCCAAATGAGTTCATGTCTACACTGAACTATTTCCTCCTCACATAATAATCATGAAACCAACTTAGCAAGCAAATAGGACTGGGAGAGCTGCTTAATGGGTCCCTTTTACAGACAATAACGCATGGAGGTGGTCTGAAAGGAGGAATGTCAATCAGCGTGAGCACAAAACATCACTCTTCAAATTCTCTTCAGCCTCTTCCTCAAACTTTTTAAAGCTGTTGCCCTGTTCCTTGCTGGATGAAGATGAGAACAGGAGTGGGAGTGAGAACTTAGTAAAACAAGC